TGAAAAATTTTGCGAAATTCTATTCATTATTTATCATATAATTGATATACAAATTTAAAAATTCCGAATATTTATGATGACCACTGTAATTAAGAAAATATTCAAATATTGTGATATTTTGATAAGAATGGATGGAATAGAAGATGAATTAGTATTTGATTATGAAGATTTAATAGAAGAAGATAATGATGAAAGTTTGGTAATTGATTCTATTAATGGAGAGATATATAATGAAATAGAAGCTTATAAAAATGATTAGACAAATGAAGAATAGTTAGAAATATTAGATAAATAAAATTTTGTTATTATATCCAGATATTTTTATGGGATAGGGATATAATTTTTTGAATTATACTATGTAAAATATCTAGGTCTAAATCAAAAATTGGACCCAAAAATTATTACAGGATATAAATCATAGAAAAATTTATTAGTCAGTAGTTTATAATATAATTATTAGTAAATATGAAACTTTATCTAGTATTTTATATTTCATTATTAAAAAAATATAATTTAGATAATAAATTCAATAAATATTAATTATTACTAGTAATTATTATTTTAGATAATAAAAAAAATATTAAGTTGAAAATATTCTTGATAAAAGAATTCATTATTATAAATTTTAATATCTTGTTAAATAGTCCAGTTATTCTTTTTATAATATAATATAAGAATCTCTTGAAAACTTGAAAAATATCATAGAAAAAATTAATATCTTTAAGAAATTATACTCTTAAATATAATAAGAATATTATACTTTAAGTAGAAAAATATATAATAATTTTGATTAAGTTATTTTTCTTTAGCTTAGATCTTTATTTTGCACTATCTATATAATAAATTAGTTTCTGTATTACTTTTCTTAAAGATCAATTTCAATCTGAATATACAAATAATTATTTATGTATTTAATCATTTAATTTAATATATTATTATACAGATGATTATTATGTATATCATAATTATTAATTTAGATTATTAATATTTTTAATTATTATATTTTCTTTATAACTTTTTATTTATTATTATTTATATTTAATTTATCATATTTATTATTATCATTATTTATTGAATTATAATTAGTTATCTTCTGAAGATTTAAATTAAGTTAACTAATTCTGTTTAACCTATATGTATTTTAATTATAAATTATTATTAATTTATTTAAATTTTATATTTATTTTATTTCTTATAAATAAGATCTTTCTATTTTATAAAATAACTTTAGATCTAAATACTTTTAAATAATACAAATAATTATAAGTTATAAAATTAAAACTATTCATATTATATTTTATCTTGTTTATAATTATTAATAAAATAATCTTATATATATCTTGTATATTTAAAAAGTATTTTCAAGAATATAATATATATTATAATAATAGAAATAAAATTCAAAGAGAAAAATATTGATATTAAATAATAAATAATATTATAAAAATAATAATTAAGCTTTATAATAAAGTAAAGGCCAAGCTTGAAAAGAATAACAGAATATTTTATCTTAAAAAAGCATATAAAAAGATCTTATTCTCTATAATATTTACAGGAAAAAAAATTATAATCTTAAATATAAAAATAAGCCAAATTTTGATTCAGATAATCTTTTTATTAAAGGAATAAATATTATAAAAAGAGATTAATCTAAGCTCTTCTATAATATAGATAAGAAAATTATAAATAAAACTCTAAAAGTTAATAATAAGAAGCTAATATATTAGATTATTAAAAAAGTTCTTTGAAAAAATATGAAAAAACTTTTCAAGTTAGATTATGATAAATTTATTCAGAAATATATATAAAGATTTAAAAAGAAAGATAATTAAAGAAATATTTCTGTAGAATGATTTGTTTTATAAATAGAAACAAAGTATTTTTGTGAAGTATTAGAAAATTAATAATTTATAAAAAAGCATTTATTCATTAATAAGTATTTATATAAAGTTTCCAAATCTGATAAATAATTTAGTTATATTATAGTAGTATCTAAAGAAATTTATAATAATTGTGAAAAGAAAATATCATAATAAAAAGAAAACTGCATGAAATATCCAGATGTGATAAAAAAGATCAACAAGAAAATAGATATTAATTATTATATCAACAGTCTATTTGCTTTCTGTGCCTGGTTTATAAATTATAATGAGAAATACTAATCATTATCTGAATCTTTATTGAAAGTCTTGGATCATAAAAAGAAATCAAAGGAGAAGAAATCAAGAATTTAAATAAAAATAAAATAGCAAATATCAATGAAGAGTCATAGAAGTTGACTATAAAATAGCTCAAAAATTATATTAAGAACTTATGTGATGTTCCAAAAAAGATGAAGCTATTATCTTCTATTTATGAAAAGATGCTACTACTTATGCTGAAAAAATATGTTCTGGTATTAGTGAAGCTGGCATAACCAATAATGATTACCTTAATGCATTAGATAAAATTACAGATTCTATTCATTTAAATTTATCAGATCTACTTGCAAAATTATCTAAGCTTAATCTGAAATATAGTAATGGGTTATATACAGTAAATTAGTTATGAAGACACTAAAATGCAAGACTGATATTACGATTTTGAAAGAATATATATTTTGATATAATCTGGAATCGGAGTGTAAAGTATTAATAGATTTCCAGAATACATGGTATAAGATAATTAAATATAATTAGCGTGCAATTTATATTTTTCCTGGAATGCACAACTCTTGATACTATTATTAATGAGTTGATATTAGTGTAAACTATAAAAAAAATACAATGGAGCGCATGCTACATTATTTAGTTTCTCAACAAGTTTCACAAACGCCCGAGTACATATAATATTTGATTTCTTGGATGAAATTTTTGCCAGACTGATAAGTAGGGTTGTTAGCACAATCACGTTATACATGTATCATCTTCGGCTAGTCGAATAGGATTTATTTTTTTCGGGTACATACAGCCTATAGAAATACTGAATGTTATATTTACTCGATAAAAAAAATATATAAATATAAATAATCGCTTATTATACAAAAGTAAGTTGAAAATATTTAATAATAAAGTATATTTCAGTTTTAATAATTATAAATAAACAAATAGTCACGTTTGTTTTGAGTTTTTAATTTATTTTATTGTTATTATAATTTTTTTAGTTTTCTAGTTATGTTTTTATGGTTTTAATAAAATAAGAAAACTATCCGATGATTTCCAAATAGGTTTCTTATTTCCGGTAGGGTTACTGATGGATTTCACATTTTGGTGCATTTTTCAATGGAGTTCATTAAAATTTCGGTAAAAATTCTATTTCCATCTCAGAAAATCTTATAAAATTAATGTTCTTAACTATTTTTCTGAAAATCAACAGTTGTATGAAACCCATTGCGATTGTTAAACTATCCTTGGTCAGTCGATCTCGATGTGGCACAATATCGATCGATATGTTCAAACACAGTGATCGGCACTAACACTACACTAAGAAAATGAATTCTTTATTACGGAAAATTTTTTTTTCAGGCTCTTTTAATTTATATCTAATTCTGAGATGGTTATGCAACATATGATGGTAATGGACAAATATATATATATATATATATATCCATCCTTTCCTTCAAATCAAATAAGAAAAATAAATTTCAGAATAGAAGAAACTATTCAATAAATTTAATAATGAAAGTCATAAAAATAGCAACTCTTTTATTATCGTTAATTTTTAGTACAATCAACGCTGCACCTACCCCAAAATCTTTAGTCCACACAATTCCCTTGCAAAAGCACGGATTATCAAATAAATATACTTTAAAGCAAAAATTTGCTCTTGAAAAAAATCATGTACTTTCAAAATATTCTAAAAAGGATGGTGACAACTCTACTATAATAACGGAACCATTGACTGGTTATTCTGGGCCAATCGTAATCGGTAGTCAAACCTTCACAGTATTATTCGATACAGGTTCCTCAGATCTTTGGGTTCCATCAAAAAATTGTACTAGTGAAGCTTGTGTAACTGATCATCTATTTGATCCTTCCAAAAGTAAAACGTACAAAAACATTGGTGAATCATTTGACATAGTATATGGAAGTGGCCCAGTTAGCGGCACAACAGGATCGGATGATATTTCTGTTGCTGATGCGAAAGTAAAAGGACAAGTTTTTGGATTGGCAATAACAGTTACTGATAGACTCGCCGAGGTAGGATTCGATGGGATTCTAGGAATGGCATTTGATTCATTAAGTGTGATCCATACCAAAACTCCTTTCGAAAACATGGTTGCACAGAAATCGGTTACAGATCCTGTGTTTAGCTTCTTTTTGGTTAGAGAAGAAGATAAGACAAGCGATAAGAGTGAATTGACTTTAGGAGGTGTTGATAATTCAAAATTTAAGGGTGATCTTAATTTCAATAAGGTTACTGATCCTTTATATTGGCAAATTAATCTTGACGATGTTAAATTTGATGGAAAATCTCTTGGAATTGAAACGTCATCTGCCATAATTGATACAGGCACTACTTTTATTTTGGCTTCGTTTGATGCATTCACAAAGATTAATGAATTAATTCCAGGTGCTGCATACGACCAAGAAGATGGTTTTTACACTATTCCTTGCAATACTACATCTATCGTTTCTTTTGTTTTTGGTGGCATCGCGTATGCTATTTCTCCTGAAGATTTAGTAATAAATCAAGGGAAGGGTGCTTGCCTTTCTGCAATATCTAATGGTGGGAATGTTTGGGTAGTAGGTGATGCATTTTTGAAAAATGTGTACACTGCATTCGATTTAGGTAAAAAAGCTGTTGGCTTTGCGCCTCTAGTATAGTTATCTTATTCCGATTATATTCTAACATACATATCAATTTAATAATATTTTTAGCAGAACAGAATTTTTAAATTTATGCATTTAGAATTAATTTCTATAATCTAATCAAATTTTTATTTCTAATACAATTAACGTAATCCACAAGAAAATGATCGTTTTTCGTTAGATAACATTAATTTAGAAACGATTTTTTTTTCAATTCAAATAATTTTAATGATTATTATATTTTTACTTATATACATTTAATAAATTTTAACGTTAATGTGGTACTGTTTTTCAATAAGTGATGTTCTGATTGTTCTTATGATAATTTTAAATAACAACGAAATATGGGTTGTGAATGATCCAGCTTTTTATCTGACAAATATGCAGTTTTTTGTTTAATTTAAAAAAATAGCTAATCTAATATTACATTTGTAATTATTTGTCATTCAAAAATCCAATAAATTTTTTAAAAACTGGATATAAAGAATTTAACATAAAACTTGTATATAGGATATAGCGCAATAAACCCTGTGCCTGCCTAAGTAAAATTCCACGATTCTGTCTAAATAATGCAACATACATGTAATCTGTGGAATTCTTCATTTCGAAAATTAATTGAGTGGCACAATAAACTTGTCTGTTCTAAACATACTGATCGTATAGGCGTTGTTACCACATAAGTAGGCTTAACATATTCATTAATGACAAGAGCAAGAGAAAAAGAAAAAATAGCACGTTGTTTTACGAACTTTGGATTTCAATCGAACAGCTGTCAAGGAAATAATATTTTCAAGAAGGATTAAGTTCAAAAATAAATTTTGCGTCATATCATTTAGGTGCACACAATAGCCATGTATAAATATAGTAATATCTTAAAAAACTATTATGACAGTTTTTTATATTTGTCGCATATTCACTTGCAAATAAAGACCTTTACATTTTTCATTGCTTTTTAAACAATGGAATCATATGCTTTATAAGTATATCACAATGAAAAAATTTATAGTAAAATACTTTGAACCATGTAAAAATTATTTTTATATAAGAAGTACTTCTCGAAGGGCTTAATTTACATTAAAATTACTAGTTATAAAGCAAAAATATCTGATGAATTATATATATACTCATCCGAAATGCGAAAAAATTCCTGGCAAATATCATCGTTATTATCATTAATTGTCACCATATTATTACTACCGCCCTCTACACTACCGCTATCTACAGTCTTGGCACAAAAATAAAATAAGCACGCGTGATTATTCCTCTTATCTCCCGCGAACATACCTTATCGAAATTGGCACTGCCAAAGAGATCGAATCTAATGTTGCCAACCTCGACAAATTTTATGATACGAATGGCAAAGTTTCTTCGAATGCACAAAATTTTTTGCGACAAATTAAATAGTCAGGCATAGATTTCAAATTACGGAGTTCGTTTGAATTGCTTGACGTTGTTTCAATCACTGTTAATGGTCAGAACGAATTGAATAAGTTGAACAATTTAGGCATCGTGAAAAATATTTGGCCTGTGGTACATGTAGATTAAAGCATTTAATTTAAAAATACATGTAGTCAATTATTGACCGACCAAAGTTGTGAATGACAAAACCAATATTACAAATCTAAATTCTGCTGATGAATTGATCGTAGTTCGAGCACAAACAAATTACACCGGAAAAAACATCAAAGTAAAGAGCGTCACTCGTTTTAAATCAGACAAAGAGAAAAATTAATTAATTATATCAGGTTGGAATAATTGATAGTGGAATTGATTATACCCATTCAGCATTTGGTAATAGTTCGACGAAAGGATATAAAATTCAATTTGGATATGATTTTATCGGTGACGCATTTAATAGCAAAGTGACGATGATCCATTGGACTAATGTAATGGACACGGAAAGCATATTGTTAGAATTCTTGCCACTGAGAGTCGCGCCCGGTGGTAATTATTTTTTATCCACATAAATTTAAATGATGGTCAATGCATTGCATTTACATGTTCATGTATTAATTATCATAATCTCTGGTAATTTGGGTATATACAGAGTTTTAGGATGCAATAATGAATCGAATGGAACGAGCATATAACGATGGGATGGATATCATCAATCTTTTACTTGCATCTGGTACCGGCTGGGCAGAAAGTCCCGTAATGATGGTGATCAAGAATTTTCCAAGCGATTTCAGTCGCTTCAATTGATAATTCAAAAATCCAACTATATTATTTAACAATCAGTTCCTCACCTGACAAAAAGATTGCATATACGACTTAGAACTCTGCACAATTTAATGTTAGCGGAAATCATGGCCACAAGCAATAATACTGAGGTGGCCAATGACACGTGCAAATCTTTACCAACAGTCTATAATCGGAAAAACAGCATTGATTCGTCGTGGAACCCGTACTTTCGCACAAAAAGTGGCTAATGCTCAAGCAGCTGATGCAATCGGAGCATAATCTATGTTAACGAAATTTCCCACGACTCTCACGCAAACGATTCTCCAGCAATAAAAATTCCGTTCGCACGAATTAGTTCATTGGAACCCTCATATGCGTTAGATATTAAACCTGAAATTGCTGCACATATCCGTTAACATTGATTTTTATGCAATATTAGATGTTATAACTGGTTGTGTGACAATTCAAATATTAGTAGTTAAATATCACCTTTGTCGTTCGCAATTTATGATTCTAATAAAAAAATTATATAATATATCACACTAAATATATATTATTACATTTCTTTTATTGCATTTCTCGGAGATATATATCAATTTTTTGCAAATTATAATGAATGTTACCTTGCTCTATACTAACGTAATATATCAAAAAAAAATACAATTTTAAAATAATAGAATTATAAAATTAATTAAAAAATTCCAAACATCAAGTACCATCGATAATGAAAATTAATGTTAGGAAAAATCTACAATTTTGATGGAGGCAATGGATTCTCTTTACATGCCTGTGGAAAAGGTAAGTTATTGAACCAGCACTTCCCGAGTTTACAAAGTTTCTTATTAGTCTCTGTTTATCAAGTATAGACTTCCATTTATTTTGTGATTCGTTCGAATGAAGAAATTTTTCTGCATCAATTTAAGATGGTCAAGGATAGCCGCGTATATCTCTTCAATGAAAAAGAGGTGGAGGGACTATTTGATGGCAATTTGCAATCGCATAAAAATAGTTGAATTAAGAAAAGATAATATTTCTTATTGTCATCAATAATTCATTTCATTATGAATTTTTTTTATTTCATAAATAATCAAGATCGAAATATTCATAAAACAATCCGGAATTTTCTTTGAATTAGTTGGTAAAATCACACCGTAGGTGAGAAATCCCGGTTTAAATTCAAGTTAAATAACAATCATTAAAGCTAACCATCTTCACCTAAATAATCATAAATTTGTAGTATAAATTAGGTGATTAGCTACTATGCATCCAGCGGAAGTCGCAAATGTTCCCATTATTACGTTCGGATCGTCAAAATAATCGTCCACGACGTCTTAAAGCTGTGAGCTTCACTGACGAGTAAAACTTTAATTCGAAATCAAAAAAAATCTTTGGCCTATTTACCTAAAGTTTGAAGCTGATTTTGTATGAACGAAAAAAAATCATTTATTTTCTCTCAAATACACATATATGCCATTTTGATTGAATATAAAATAAATGCGAGAATACCTGTATCAGTGGGATTGATATTAATTTTGAAGTAAAGAATCAACTTATAGATATAGGAAATGCTTACTGTAATTTCATTTTTTCAATTTTTGTCTCTGTTCTCCGAAACTCTAAATTTTTCATGTGTTAGTTTCTTCTTACTATGTCAACAAAAAAATTGATTATTAAGAAGGCCAAGCAGAGATAATTAATAAAGTATTAACTTCTATGAAGAATGAGATTGTTATCTTTTTCATTTTTTGAGAGAAGAATAAGATATTCTAAAGTGTTGTAATATTGAAAATGCAAAGTACACAATTACCAATTTTCATAATGACTAAATCTATGCGACGCTGTGACGCAATAATGGATCACTTGACATAAATCATGGGGGTCTTTTGTAATGGGGTGTGGGGCAATAATTGCATAATATAAAAATCATCCAATGGACCTTATCGGGTTTGTTGTTTTTGTTGTCCACCATATCGGGTAATAAAAACAAAAAAACATTATCACGCGATCACGCGTCATTTCTTTTCATTATAAATATCCCTATCCCTCCTTCACCTCTTTTTTTTTCTTTATTCCAGACGATGTATTATTAATGCTGATACTAGTTTCACAATTA